AAGACTTTGGCACTTTTATCATTGAGGTTTGCTTCAGGTGCAATCAAAGAAACTAGTAGAAGAACTCGCTGACATTGATGATGACATGTCTTTGCCGTGCTTGTAATTTTGGGAAGCAACATAGGCAACCCTTTCCTAAACAAGCATGGAGAGCTTCGAAAAAGCTGCAACTGGTTCATACTGATCTTTGTGGTTCTCAGCAAACACCATCATTAAATGGTAATCTTTATTACATTGTTTTTATTGATGATCTAATAAGAATGTGTTGAATCTTGTTGTTGAAGCAAAAGTCAGAAGTGATGGTGTTAATATAACACATGCGGAAGCAATTTGAATCTTAGGCACTCTTAGAACATCAATTATAGTAAAAAACTAGCATGTTCATAAGTATTAAAACTTAATGAGTTTAGATACTAACCTTTTGTAGTTCAAACTCCTTTTTCCTCACGAACCAGTTTCGAACCACCACTAGTGTCTTCTCCACTATCCTCCGGCCTTAGAACGGGATTGTGGAATCCGGTGAGTGACTAAACTTGGGAGGGATTTTGTATATGTGAAGAGAGTGTTTGTGAGAGTTTTTTCTCAAGGTTTTTCACCAAGAAGAAGAAGACCTTCCATGTACCATGATCACTCTATTTAAAGAGTCATGTTTGCATGTTCATGCAAATTTGAAATCACCCAATTTTGACACTTAAAATTCCACTCAAATGTTTGGGATTATGTGGCAAGCATGCATGTTTGAGTTAACCAAATTTTGACACTCAAAATTCCACTCAAACTTGTGGGGTTTATTTGGCAAGCATGCAAGTTTAGTTCAACCAAATTTTGACACCTCAAAACTCTACTAACATGGATCTTTCTTCATTTTAATTCAACAATTAATTTGAATAATGAATTTCAAATTAGAGTAACATTAAATGATTAATTAAACTATTTAATTAATATTTAATATTAATTCAAATGTCAATCCCAATCAATTCCGACACATAATTGATTAAGACATTTAAATCTTATTTAAATATCTCAGATTCTCTATTTTTGTTTAATTCGTAAATAAAACAAAATTGCGGTTAAATATATTGTATATATGTAACGCATATTCCCTAATTTGAATTCGAACACTTCGAACTCACTCGTCACACTATCCTATGGTTTAGTCCGATATGAGCTAGCAGAGGGACCTAATGAACCTATAGATCATGGGCTCTAACGATCCAAGATTAATCGATTAAACTCATTAACCTGGTTAACCAACATTCGTTAACTACTAGGACACTCCACTATAGCCTAGTAGTTGCACTCCCCTCACTATAGATATATTTCTATCCATCTGATATAACCATGATTAGTAAGTCGATCATTCACAGGTTGTTCGTAACTAGAGCTGGGTCAATTTACCGTTTTACCCCTGAAGTTACTTCTTGTTCCTTATGTCTCACTGATCCTCTAATGAACAATTGGTTTGTGGTCCAACCAGTAAACCGAATCCCTCTCAGGCCAATGAGAGGGTGGGGCCCCTTGTTCAAGACCTGGAGTCAGTGCTTAAGGGAACTACCTTTCTTCTATCCCTAAAAGTGGGTAGGAGTGAATTCCGTCTTGCACCCCACGTCCCCAGCCATTCACCCAGTCTTACCCCTGAAATGGGAGGTCTGTTGAGTCGGCGAACTAGAGCCACTCTCACCCATGCAAATCTAAGGATAATTCCGAATAAACAGGAGTTCATGGTTATTTCAGGATTAAAACCGAGTTACCTAGGTTATCGAATGAAAAGAAAATCAGTCTCAAAGTAAACAACATTATAAAGTGAGAGTGGTTTTCTTCATGGTCCGATCTTATGCAATACTCATTGCATAGGACGCCCCCACTCACATGTCTTCACATGTACAATTTAGTGATCACATTGTTTATATCATATACAAAAGTGGGCCGCATCCATAGTGTCCTAGAATAAGGTACTCAGCCTTATCCTTATACTATAGATCATTTTGACTATATACTTGAACTTTATCCACTCTTATGTCTCTACATACAGTTCAAGTAATCATACTATAGCCAGAGTGTTCTTAGTTTATTGGATTTAGATTAATGATCGTAAAGTTCACTTTATTCAATAACAATCTTTACTGAATAAACAACAATAATAACTTTATTGAAAATAGAATATGTTTTTGTTTACAAACTATGAGTTTTAGGACATAAAACCCAACAAGAAGTTGGGGTGTATTTTGGAAATTCAAAGCCAGGGTTGAGAATGAAAATGCATGCTTGATTCAGACTATAAGATCAGATAATGACAAGGAGTACACTTCAGAAACTTTTAACAAGTTTTGTGAAGAGGCTGGAATTGGACATCAATTGACAGCACCATACACTCCTCAACAGAATGGCGTCAGTGAAAGGAGGAATAGATTCATAATGGAGATGACGAGATGCATGCTTCATGAGAAGGATCTTCCAAAACGTTTTTGGGAAAAAGCAACAAACACTGTTGTGTGCTTGCAAAATCGAATTTCAACAAAAGCTGTGAAGGACCGACACTATTTGAAGTTTGGTATGGTTGCAAACCTTTTTTTAAAGTTCCTTAGAGTATTTGGGTGTCTTTGCTTCACTTACATTCCGCAGATCAAGCGCGATAAGCTTGACAAAACTTACAGGGTTTTTCAACTACACACTAGCCGTGTTATTGTGAGACGAGATGTTCATTTTGCTGGAAATGAGCATTGGAATTGGGAAGAACTGACGAAGGTGAATTAGATTTCTAATGCACCAAACAATTTAATCTTTGGTAGCATGTTAGAAGAGTCTAAAGATGAATGACAAAATGCTTTGGCTGATGATGCACCTGTTAGAGGAGGAGCTTTCGGTGATCGAGAAAAACAAAACCAGGGAGTTAGTTGATCGACCTCTAAACAGAAAGATAATTGGAGTAAGACGAGTGTTCAGGAAAAAGCTTGAGTTCAAAGCATCTAAACAAGGAGGAGTGTTAAAAGATCACGTGTTAAAAGATTACGTGTTTGTTTAGATTGCTGTCAGTTAGTATTTGATTAAATCTCTTATTGTTAGGAGTTGATTTAGTTTTGATTTGTTTACTTGTTGTATTCTAATATAGAGAGTCTTCTTAATACTATCTTCTCATCAACCATTCAATCACTCACTCTTTCACTAACAAATAATGCCGTAATCGAGCATCACTCACGGGCTCCTCTATCTAATTCTGAAATTTCAGAACACAAATTTTTCACTTTCAAGAAATATTCTTCAATAGAAAAATTACCTTGAGTTACCACAGCTAGTTCATTCTCTAGAAACTACAATCGAGCGGTATTTTTCTTAGTGAATAACTTTTGAAGTGTTTCCCACACTTGCTTTGGTGACTTTAAATCACGAACATAATCTACTTGCTAATCAAAGTTCGCAAGGTAAATAAGGCTTTTCCACATTTGATCTTCCATTGTCGGCGTAATTCATTATTTTGTGGAGTATCTGCTGCAATTTATGTGTCATCACCTTCAATTAAATCCCACAAATCTTGCCCTTGTAAATAAGCTTCTATACATAACTTCCAATAACTATAATTATTGCTCATTTTCTAAAAATTTTAGTTGAAACCAAACAAGCTTTTTCATAGCTTACTTACAGAAGCACTTCCACCATTCATATCATTGAGTAATAATATCAAACCCTTGGTTACCCGCTTGAACTTGGCTCTGATACCAACTTACACAATATCTACCACTCAAAAGTGTGAACAGATCTGAAAATATTATTACTCAACCCAAAAGTGTGAATAGATCTGAAAATATTATTACTCAAGTAAACCATACATAGTTAAGAATGAGAAATAGAATTGGGATCGAATATTTGATCTTCATTGATATTCACCGTTTAAATAGAATACAAGATACCAATTAATACATACAAATAAGAAAAATATAAACTAACTAAATCTCGGGAATAAAATAAAATATACTACAAATCAAATCATAAGAGAAAAATATTAACTGATTACGAATATCTTGACTAATTCAATTTTTTTAGTTCAACAATATCGAGGATGAAGATTGAATCACCGATCTTTAAAATGGTAATTCATGTCTTATTCACTTGGTTATATTTCAAAAAAACATTAATAAAACGGGGCTAAAACACAAATTTAAGTTACAGAAAGACAAAAATTTTAACATATTCTTATGTGACGTTTATATAATCATAATAAATTGGACAACCAAATTCAAAAGACTTTCTTCACATACGAACATGAGTTCTTCCAGCATATTTTATCCCCACTCACATAGACGAGATGCTGGCCATACACTCATCATGCTTATCAAACAATATCGATCCAAGTTCTTGCAGTAGAGTTTGCACACATACGGTTTGAGTTTAGGGTTTGATTCAAATAAATGAAACCTAATTTAGTTCTCTTAAAGTTAAAGTTAATTGACGTGAATTTATTATTAATTTTAAAATATACATTTTTAGTTACTCTATTCTCCGGTAAGAACGTGAATTTGTTCTTTTTCTTGCAAATTATATTTTATTGCAACTAATTAGGTGACAGCGAGTAGAAATTAGTAATAAAAAGTGAGTTGAAATAGAGAGGGGAGAGTAGAGCTTCCATTGGGTACCCGACCACTCAAACGTGAGTAGAGATGTCTATCGGGTGGAACAAGGAGAATATTCAATATAACTTTTGCTGGGAATTTAGGCAGGTTCGAGATGGAGATGGGGATGGAAAATATAATTCTCGTCCCTGACCCAATTTAGTTAATGAAGAGAAATTTCTTTTCATGTCCCGTTTAAATGGGAGTTCCCAGTTCCCGACCTCATTTGATACGAGTCCCCACGGAGCCTCACTCCCGAGGTTAAAAAATAAAGTATAAATTTAGGGATATTTTTATTAAATTATCATTATTATTATTGCTTTATTTTTTAAAACAAAATTTGGTTTTAATTTTGAGGTGAAAATAAAAAGGGAAAAAAAAGAGTAATAATAATGTGCGCCAATCAGTGTTGACTTTGTCCTGCGTCTGGAAGTAAAGTTTTGGCCTTGGCATATGCCGCCACGTGACCAGCAGATCCACTCCTCCGCCGGACATTTTCCTCAGCTGGACTCCGGCGATTCATTTTCCGGCCAACTTCTCTCTTCTCCCACCTTTTCTCTCTTCCTTCCATTAATTCCGCTCCAACTTCTCTCCATTTCCTCCTCCAACTTCTAATTCCAGGGCTCGCTTTTGATGGCCAAACCCAAGGCTCCGAGGCAAACCCTAGATTCCTACACTGTCAAACGCATCAACAAAACCATTAAAGGTAAAACAATCCACTGCCTCCTCTTTCTCTTCTCCTTTTTTGTTGGAATCTTTCAGATAATTCCGTTTTCCCGTCTGTGTCTGATCTTCCGGAATTTTACGGGTTTTTGTGCTTCTTAGCCGGCGACTGCGTGCTTATGAGGCCCTCTGAACCCTCGAAACCGTCGTATGTGGCCAAGATTGAGAAGATTGAGGCGGATTCTCGCGGGGCCAATGTGAAGGTCCATGTTCGCTGGTATTACCGGCCGGAGGAATCGATTGGGGGTCGGAGACAGTTTCATGGCTCGAAGGAGTTGTTTCTCTCCGACCATTACGACGTTCAAAGCGCAGATACCATCGAGGGAAAGTGTACGGTGCATACATTTAAGAATTATACCAAGCTTGATGCTGTTGGGAATGAGGACTATTTTTCCCGTTTCGACTATAATTCCGCTACTGGGGCTTTCACTCCCGATCGAGTGGCTGTGTGAGTTTCTTTTTAATTCAATTGTTGGTTTAGATATTGTGTGCTTTACATTCTGTACTCCTGAATTTGATCACTCTGATTTTACTTGAGTCACTTGACATGGGAAGAAATTGGTTTCTGTAGATTTCTTTAGCAAAGTTTTACTAGTTTAGCTGCATTGTGGTTCCAGCATTGATTGTCTTGGTTTTCAGTTCATAGCTCTTATACAGTTCATGAGTTCAAGTACCAAAAGCTCTTTCAATTGATGTTCTTATTGCTATTTGAAGATCAAATTCTGTCCACCATTCCTTTCTTTTTAACCGTTTTATGTATAGCATTACATGTCATTTAAGCTCATGAATCTCCTTTTTGCATAGCTTTACCCGTTTCTTCTGGTGCAAAATTTCACTTGATTTTATGTAGCAGATATTGCAAATGTGAGATGCCTTATAATCCCGATGACCTAATGGTTCAGTGCGAGAGATGCAGTGATTGGTAAGCTGGGTGTGTATTATGCTATTGGTTTCTTTTGCAGCCTTAGCTTATGTGCTTATGAAGGTATTTATTGTTCATATTGGCTTGTGTATCTTCTGTAATTTGGAGCCTACGGAATAGAAGCATAATTACAGTAAAACAAATTGACGTAAATTTATCTGGAATTGTAATAATGTACATTCTTTCTTTCAAATCATAAATGAGAAGTAACCTAATCTTTGTTTCTGGGTCCTTATATAAACATTATCTATCCCAGATGTGTGGCTCGGTTTGTTTCTTTCTTTTCTCTTCATTTCTTTTTTAATATAGATGGAGTAAAAAATAGAACAGAGTTTTGATCGACACAAGGAGATTAGATAAAAAAAACTCTGGATGCTCTCTGAAGTGTTGAGCTTTGGCTTCTAGGATTAAGGTGGTTTGCATAAAATGTTACCCGGAGTCCAGAAATGCTTCACATAAGAGAAAAACATACTTTGTAGTTGTGAGATCCCACATCGATTGGAGAGGGGAGCGAAACATTTCTTATAAGGGTGTGAAAGTCTCTCCCTACCAAACGCGTTTTAAAACCTTGAGGGGAAGTCTAGAAGGGAAAACGCAAAGAGGACAATATCTGCTAGCAGTAGGCTTGGGCTGCTACAAATGGTATTAGAGCCAGATATCGGGCAGTGTACCAGCAAGAATGTTGGCCCCCAAGGGAGGTGGATTGTGAGATCCCACATCGGTTGGAGAGGGGAACGAAACATTCCTTATAAGGGTGTAGAAACCTCTCCCTACCAAATGCCTTTTAAAACCTTAAGGGGAAGCCGAGAAGGGAAAGCTCAAATAGGATAATATCTACTAACAATGGGCTTGAGCTGTTACAGTGAAGGATGACATTAAAGTCAAACATAAAATACATGGTTAGATATGAATGTATTCTCGACGGAAATTGGTTCATTGAATTATGAATCACTAGTAATCTTATTTCATTGAAAAAACATGTTATTTCCTATATATAAAAAAAAGATTATTAGAAAATTTAATTTGAAATAGGAGTTATGCTTCAGCTGAAACAATTTGCCTTAATGATCTTATTTATATTGATCAAAGATATTGGAAATTAAAATGATTTAGGTTTCATTTATATCTCATTTTAATTACAACATCCAATTAGCGTACTTTATGACCCTTTTGTAACTACACTAGGATGCTTTCCATAAAATTAGTAGATAGAGGCTTTTTGGCCTGCTTTTGGGTGTGATTCTTTTCATTTTCTTAATGAGAAATCTCTTTGATTGGAGATGTCCTCCAAGCTTCTGGGTTTAGGAATCATCTATATTTGGTTTCTTTGAAGTCATCCCTTGTTGGCAACCCCTTGAACAAGGAAAAAGGAAATCCCTTGGCTTCAACGTACTACTACCTCATTCTTATGGAATTTAATGTTCCTATAATCTTTGGTTGGAAAGCAACGACAGGATTTTACTGACAAGGAAACCCATATAGTCAAGTTCATTTACAATGTTCTTTGTGTAGCACTCAAATCATGTAAATTATACCTTTTGTTCAATAGCTGTAGTTTAGTTGGAACTTTACATTAATTGGAAGTGTTTAATTGATTTACCTTTGATGTCTGCTTTGCTAAGATACTTTGTGAATCATTCGCTCGATGTATGGCTTTATAGCATAAAATCTGAATCTTAAAGTGGATGATATTCTTTATTTAGGTTTCATCCTGCTTGTATAGAAATGTCTGCAGAAAAAGCTAAAAAACTTGACCACTTCTTCTGTGAAAGTTGTTCTCCAGAGGGTCAAAAGAAGTTGCAGAATTCACAGTCTACATCTAAAATTGCAGAGACAAAGGTATTTGTAAAGCTGCTGAATATAAATGTCCTTTGTTGAATGTCACTGTTTGTATTGTTTGTTTTGATCAAACTGCATAATCTAGTTCCATCTTGTTTTAGTGAGCCTTAAGGTAGCAGGTGACAATCATATCATGCACATTCTTTTTTAGTTTTTGGTTGAAGTTGATTCTTCTCTTAGGTATCTCCTCCTCGTTTTAATGGCAACCAAATGTATTAAGGTTCGATAGTGATGTTATGGGAGCAGTCAAAATGTGCCCAAGTTGGCTCAAACATTCACAAAAAGAAAAGAAAAACTTGGAGACCTTTTGAACATGGAAGTGTTACTAGTAGCTTTCATTTCATTTTGATTAGACTTATATTGTGGTAATCTTTAGCGTGACGAATAGTGCTTGGTTTTTGTTACGAAAAGATGGTCGTATTATGATGAATAATATGTTCGAATGTTGTTGCAGGTGGATTCGAAACGACGACGGAGGTGATGATAGTGTAAATAAACAAAATACATTGACTTAGAGTCGTTAAGAACCAAAGCTTCGAAATTCCTAATGAGTTGGAACAACTGCATAGATTTAGGATCATGTAAATACTACCTACTGTGTGTGTCCAGATTCATTTCTAGAAGAGGGACTGGTTTGAAATGTATTGAAGTTCTTTTATTTGATTATAGCAATGACGAGAAAAGTAACTCATGTATCTTATAAAAATTGTGAGGTCTATGAGATAAACTTGAGGTTTCAACTCAAAACGGTAAAGAGTAGCTTATGTATTTTTTAAAGATGGGCTAGTCTCTTCATCTTTTCAATGGGTGAGGGAGCTTAGCCTCGTTTGATCGAAAAATTACTAAAATACTTGTAAAGTGGCATGGGAGATCAAAATGTAGATAGCAAGATGAAGTTCTAAAGATGATAAATTTTTACGTATTTGGTCACGATGGTACTACGACATAAACCCCATGTCACCTTCCCTATCGATCATTAGCTTCAACTATATCTAGATGACCAATTATGTAATCAATCAACCAATGCATTATATTAAAAGAAGTGTGTTTACTTGTTCGTTAAGTGGAACCTTTCCTCAATTGACCAGACCAAGAAACTACCGATTTTGCTTGGTGGGTTATAAGTACTTGAGTTATCCATTTATTTTGTCTATGAATTGGAACAATGAACTTATTCACAATAGTTGAAAAGTTCACGTATGAACAAGGATCAATTTTACTTCACTTACCCATTCTAGCTCGAGAACGGTCCTCCTGCACCGACCACTCTAGTCTACAGGCTGCGCCCATTCATTTGTGGTCCATTGTTGATACTTATCTATACATAATCCATCGAGCAAAAGACATCGAAAAGTCAAATGTCTCATTTATACAATTTATACAATCTTCTCTATTGGCTTCCCTTCCATCTTTAATATACCATAGAACTTGAAGTTTATATTTACCCTCCAAAACTGTTAAACATCTACCTTACCTAATCTAATTAGAAAACTCAATTGATTATATCCATAATTTCAACTCTTTTTTAAGGATAATTTAAAACTTACCCGTTCATCTCTATGGTTCGATAAAACTTAATAAGTAGTTTTCACTGTTAGAAACTTTTAATGTCAATCCCGTACTCAACCCGACAGTGAATTCTAAAGCTAAAGGTTGCAGAATTGAAGCTTTGACACTGCCAGAATAAGCTCCCTTCTTGTTAATTGTTCTGATAGCAGTTCAGTTGCAGCAAGGCCATAGGCTTATCACACACTAATGAAATCAAAGTTTTTCACATTGAACTCATCTGATATGAGTATTATTTGCTGGTAAAGCTATTAAAAATGGTTGTTTTCTCATTTTTCCTTGCAAATAATTTTCATTTCTGCACACTCGACGACAACTCGTCCACCGGGTACCAGTGTCGATTGAAAAACCAAAGAGAATCGGCTTCAACTGCATAGCCATCGTGGTTCCTGTTCCAACTGAAATATGCATGAGTTCGGTTCTTGATATCGAATATGGCATGCCCGAAGCTTGCTTCACGATACACCGAGTACGAAGGCTGTGGCTCCGTCATACTGCATCATGAAACAAATGAGTTTATGGTTTATAATATGAACGAGCAGGAAACAAGTTATATTGTGAATCCATTGGTAGGATATAAAATGAGAAATTGAAAGTTTACTTTGTTGCTAGGCCTTCAAGGTTTCCTCCATCACCTATTGTTATGTATACAGGTGCAGATTGATCTTTCACAGGAACACAACGGCCATTCACTATGTTGTATGCAATATTTGAAATCCTTTCCTGTATTTAGCATAAGATAATTGTTCTGTGTTACGAACAGCGAACGAAATCTTGCAAGATATGAAAAAACTTCGGTTGCGACTCGTTCATGTTAGTAATAGTAACAGTCATCAAATTCTAGCTTGCACTCATTAAAGAAGTTTGGAGGAAAATTCATAGAATAGAGAATGTAATAGCCCAAGCCCATCGCTAGCAGATATTGTCCTTTTTGGGTTTTCCTTTTCAGGCTTCCCGTCAAGGTTTTTCAAACGTGTGTGCTAGGGAGACATTTCCACACCCTTATAAAGAATGCTTCATCCTCCTCCCCAACCGATGTAGGATCTCACAATCCACCCTCCTTCATGATCCAACGTCCTCGCTGACACTCGTTCCCTTCTCCAATCGATGTGGGACTCCCCAATCCATCTCCCTTCGAGGCCCAGCATTTTTGCTGGCACACCGCCTCGTGTCCACCCCCTTTGGGGCTCAGCCTCCTTGCTAGCACATCTCTCAGTGTCTGGCTCTGATACCATTTGTAACAGTCTAAGCCAGACTACCACTAGCAGATATTGTCCTTTTTGGGCTTTCCCTTTCGGGCTTCCCTTCAAGGTTTTTAAAACACGTCTGCTAGAATGAGGTTTCCACATCCTTATAAAGAATATTTCGTTCTCCTCCCCAACCAATGTGGGATCTCATAGAGAAAATTGGAACGATTTCCATGAAACCAAACATAAAGAATCCAAACATAAAGAATAGACTTGAACAAATCCTTTGAGTCTTACTCCTCTCAAACATACAAATTATGACAGGCAACAGTGGTAGGATTGGAAAGGAATGTTAAGAAGAGGAAGTGCTTACAGATCTTTCATAGGCATGGACATGGCCAGCAAAGACGACATCGACTTTGTATTTTATGAACCATGACTCGTACATTACTCGCATAGTTTCTCCTTCCATGTAATGATAGTTGTAGCTGTTGTACCATGGAGAATGCATCAGAACAATCAACCATGGTGTTTCGCTTCTGTTCACTTTTGGGAACTCCATTTCAAGCCATTTGTATTGAGGAGTGTATTTACCTAGAAACATTATCAAATGGAACAAATGTTGGCTTGATTTTGTTGGATTCGACTCTCTTTGTGTCGTTTTTCGGACATTCTTTCGTGGGGCGGGGCTTATTTTTCCATATGCCCTTGTATTTTCCTTTTTAATACCTTAGGAAGTGTTGATAAAGGAGAATGCTAATAAAACTAAAGGAAGTGTTTACCATAAGCTGAATAGGAAGCCAAGACTATGATGTACGAAGGACCTCTTTTGATCGAGTACCAAAACGGAGCTGTGCTCTCAGAGGCTTTATAAGGGACGTGATAACGGTTCGTATATGGCTTGAACGGCTCGGTTTCGCCCTGCAAAAGAAACATGCTTGTCAAACATATCATACTTTTATGTAGGAAACCTCATTTGAGCCATTTGCATACTTACAATTTCAGGGACAAAATCAATTTCATGATTTCCTGCAGTCCATATCCAAGGCTGATATGCAGTGCTTCTCTCTGTGAATCTTCCCCATGTATCCCATCTTACATTATCATGAAATGGATAGTTATCAGCATAAGATAGATCCCCCACAAACAAAACTGTTTTCCCTTTATGTGGATTTTGTTCATAATGAGTCAACGTTATATTCGAATCAAAACTCTGGCCAAGATCCCCTGCAAACCACGTTAAACACCACGACATTGAACATACAAGTCAGAGCAACCAACTCAACAAGGCGTTAATAAAACGATCCCAACAACGCTTAAAGTATCAGATAGCTAAGCTACATTTCAGCTAGCTTCTAGGAACAACAAACAGACAATTATGGCATGAGCAATTAACTCACCGATGAGACCAAACGTATAGGGGACATCCGGACCGACTTCTGGAGGAGTGACGAACCAGAATGTTCTCGGAGAGTACCCAATTCCCACTTCATAGAAGTATTTGGTGTTGTACTGCCAAAAGGTAAGTTAGAGAATTCAGAATTCCTGAAGAGAAGAACAAGAGTTGCCTTGATGTTGACAAGTAATATAGATTGAATTGTCTGTACCTTCAAGTTTGAAATGGTGCAGTGATGAATGTAGCCAGAAGTGTAGTTATAGAACTTATAAGTATATACTTTTCCAAAAGCATGTTTCTTAAGCTTGCTGTTCTCACTCCAATACAGTACTTCATTTGATCCTGCTTCATTTGGAGTCACCCATGAAACAATCACTGCCTTCCCTTCATGATCTCCTTGGGTGATATGAACCTTCAACGATCAAAACATCCAATAACAAACCAGAAGTGGGGAAAAGAGGCTAAAATTGTAGCCCACAGGCAGTCATTAGATCCTCAAAGACAATCAAGATCAAACTTCAAATGGAATAGCTCAACAGTTCAAATACACCAAAGTCTATGGTAGTTTACTAGATATCAGACTCAGAAATCCTATATTCAAAGCTATGGATCACCACATTGATACTCACTTGTTGTATATGGTATTAATTTTCAAGTCCACGGATGAGTGATGGCGTTAAGAGTAAGAACAAAAAACTAGAACTATACCATAACTAGCCGGCCTACACTTTAGAGTTTAATGATAGTTTTGTTGTAGCGTAAGCGGAAGCGGAAGCAAGATCGTTCGCACTCACATACCCATAAACAGAAATTAAACAAAGAAACACAAAGATTAACGTGGTTTGGAGAGAAGAAATTTCCCTACATCCACGAGTAGCAATCAATCTCGATAATCAAAGTGTATATCTCACACTTTTACACTACAAAGTCTCTCAACAAAGTTCCTCTCAAATTCAAACTCGATCAAACTCAATACTCAATCATCCTAGACAACCGTAGACAACCGTTTATATGAATCAAAATAGTTATGAACTAAATGAGAGTCAATAACCAAAATAAACAAGAATATGAACCATATAGATCTTCACGACAAGTTACAACAAGTTTAACAGGGAAAGAAGAAGAAATGAAGTGGAAATTTAAGGAAAAAGAGACCTGCTGAGGAGCATTATAACCAGGAGGCAGAGCAAAAACATCACTGTCAAGAGGCATATCCACAGTTTTCTCAACATTCCTCACAAACCGACTTGTTTCGCCGCCATTACAGACCTCCACGCCATTCAAAACAAGAATCAAAACAGCAAAAGAAGCAGAAAGCGAAAAATCCACAACTCTCATCCTCACCTCTCTGTTCTAATGGCGATTCCCAAATCTCAATCTCAGAAAGTCAAAACAAACCACCACTCTTCAAGAACCCTCCCCTGATAAATCCGAGCAAAATATCATCAAAATAACACAAAAAATTTGAAAACCTCAAAAGATAAGTCAATGCTCAGTCGTTCTCCGCAGCAAAGACCACTCTGAAATAGTTGGATGCGATCACCGAATGTTCATATTTGAGAAACTGGAGAGACCCATGACGGCATATTCCCATTTGACTTCGTGGATGCCTTTGATTCCATCGAATTTGATCGAACGAATGATCATTCCTTTTCATTCCCATATTTCATTTTTACCTTTACGTCGTTCTCGTCTCGCGCTTACTTCTCCGTCTCAGAGGCGGTTGTCCAAATGGGGTCCCATCGATTAGGAGTTGAATTTATAATTTGTTAATTCAAAGTTCTTATCCATTCATATTATTCATACTAGGGACCATAATTTGGCATACTTTATTCATTGAATTTAAAGAAAGCATCAAACTAATTCACATGGGTTTCTTTTCATAATTAAAATAAAAAATTTAGATGATCTTAAAATTAGTTTCTTCATCTTCATCGAGGGTTCAATTCCATCACCCGCTTCGATTCATGTATTACTATGACATCTTATTATCATTTTTCTAGTACTATTCTCCTACGGAACATTAAATGCTCACTTTCGCAGAGTGCATGTTAATTGATGCTGATAAATTATTTAGATATCCCCAGCGTTTCTCCATAATCGACTTCTTCGTCTATTTGTTACTCTTAAGTCACAACATTAAAATCTTTTTGAAAAAATGACGAATATTTAAAATAATCCATAAGACACTCATCTAATTGGAGTCAAATATGCAAACATTCCTCGTATTAGTTAGAGCAAACAAAATCGAAAAACATTTGAGCTTCGAATCACTCCACAAGCAAGATTGATATGTCAAGCTTGAATGATTCTAAACAAACAATTTAAACCGTATAGAATTGCAAAGATACTTAGTCATTGGTTAAAAGCAAACACAAATGTTCTTTTTGCTGCATTTTTTAAGTCTCCTCTGTAAATACAACATAGATGGCTTTATATAGCTTCAAAAATGAAACCATTCACGTTGGCTTTCAAAAGGGGTAATATTCAAAAGTAAAAAATATTAAAATAAGAAGTATTCGGAAAATAATTGGATTAACTTAATTATTAAAAAAAAAATACGGTTTATACAAGCTACATAAATAATTAAAATCTTATAAAGTTCAAATATCAAACATTTACAAGTTACAGCATCACTAACATCAGTTACAAACGGCAAATATTCTTTATTTTTTAAAAATAAAATAGGGATTAGTTTGGCTTCTATTCTAACCTTATATTTGGGTTGGTCACGTAAAATGTCAACCTACGAACCAAACAAAAAATTTTAAGACTAAACAAAATGTATTTATTGAATTTATTTATTATTATTGATTTTAAATATGATAATTTGAGAGTCATGTATATTAGCCCCAAAAAAAATTAATTAGAGTATTTTTTGTAAATATTTACAATTAAAATAAATATTTTAAAATTCGGGGAAAATGGCAAATTGAAATAAATTTGTAACCAAAATTATAATTAAAATTAAATATAGGGTGGGAAAAAATAACTCCAACGGCCACCACATATATTTAACTAACTAACTAACTGAAAATGGCGGGAACTACGCCGCCACGTTAAAGCAATCTATACCGTTAAGTTGTGGGGCCCACAAGATATTGTAAATCTACGGTCAATATTCGCAGTTCATAATATTTTGAATTATCCATTTACAAAAATAGATATTGTATTACCCTTAATTCTCCCGCTTTAAAGCACCTTAGAGCCACCGTGAAGCCCCTTGTAATTTGTCTTTAATCATGGATCGGAGTTTCTTTTTGTTTTCCGTCGTCATCGCCGCCGCCGCCGCTCTCTGCTCATCGGAATCTTTGGCCTCGACGTATTCCGTCAGTCCGCTGATTCGTCAAGTTATTGACGACGGCGAATCCAGTAATCTCCCGCTCCAAGCGGAGCACCACTTTTTGCTCTTCAAGCGAAAATTCGGAAAATCGTATGCTACCGAGGAAGAGCACAATCGCAGGTTCAGGATCTTCAAGGCTAATATGCGACGAGCGCTCCGCCATCAGTCTTTTGATCCATCCGCTATTCATGGCGTCACTCAGTTCTCTGATTTGACCGTTTCTGAGTTTCAGAAAACCTTTCTAGGACTACGAGGTCACCGTCTTAAACTTCCTCTAGATGCCAATCAGGCTCCGATTCTCCCTACGGAGAATCTTCCGGGTGGTTTTGATTGGAGAGAACGTGGTGCTGTAACTCCGGTGAAAAATCAGGTTTCGTGCTATTTTTTCACCTCATTTCCCTTGTTTAATCGCAATCTTTCGAGTTCTAGATGTGATTTGATTCTTGTTTGTTCTTTTTCCTTAAGTTTTGTTGGTAAACAAATTTTTATCTGTGGAAGATTGAAGGACGATTGTTGATCTGAAATGCGTTTTGCGTGTGTTTTGATCCTTAGTTCTTACGCCATATATTAATGTCATTACAATTAGCTGCTATCCTTCCATTTTGGTTTGTTGAAGTTTAGCTATGAACATGTATATTGGATCAGGGAACTTGCGGATCCTGCTGGAGTTTCAGTACAACCGGTGCCCTTGAAGGTGCTAATTTCCTTGCGACAGGAGAACTTGTTAGCTTGAGCGAACAGCAGCTTGTAGATTGTGATCACGAGGTTTGTTTCCTTCTCTGTTTCAAATAGCTGTGTAATTGCTCTGTTCTCATCATTCCCACTTATAAATAGATCATGATAGCTATGTAATAACGTTATTTCAATTGAAGTTGTGATTAATTTCTTGTGGATGTCAGGATGATTAATCAACCCATGATATTTCCTTCGATTTTTCTCGTGGTTACATTCACTGTTGTCTTGGGTTTGGTCCATTTTTTAGTGAAAAAAAAGTATTTAATAGAAAATCAATTTAAAACCTCACACTTCGTCTCAGATTCGAATCCAAGATTGATTATATCTTGGATGATTCTAAACATGCAATCTAAATTATATATAATGATTCTAAACATGTAATCTAAACTATATATAATGGCATAGAATTACAAAAAGAAAAAACTAAAGCCAGGCAAAGGAAAACACATACTTTTTTTACTATTACCTTATGAAAGTTATGGCCAAGTTTTATATTTTATGGCCACTACGTATATTTTATGATCATTAGTAACTATATTCTCAAAACTGTAAGATGAATTGGAACATCTCCATAATAATTGGAACAATTTCTTTATAGATGATTAAAGGAAAACACAAATACTTTTTTTTTGAGGTATAACTTTCATATTTTATGGTCATAATTAATAACTATGTGTTTGAATTGTTGTGGGATGAATTAGAACATTTCCGTGATAATTGGAACAACATTTAACATTTTATTTAGGGGTGATGATGGATGTCTTGGTTCATATAAGATAACTTTTTAACTTAGTATTTCCAAGTTATGGATATATCTTGTGTATTCTGCAGTGTGATTCAGAGGAAGCTGGTTCCTGTGATTCTGGTTGCAATGGTGGCCTGATGAATAGTGCACTTGAATACACACTAAAAGTTGGAGGTCTGATGAGGGAGCAAGATTATCCCTACACTGGAACCGATCGTGAAACCTGTAAATTTGACAGGTCCAAGATTGCAGCATCAGTTGCCAATTTCAGCGTTGTTTCACTTGATGAGGATCAAATTGCTGCAAATCTGGTGAAAAATGGCCCACTTGCAAGTAAATACCCTTTTATATTCAAACGAAAATTGAGTTTCTTTGCTTTGTTATTTACTTTTAGGAACAAAAAAATCTTAACGAACAAGGACTCTTATCTCCTGAACTTCTACTATCAAACGGGTCACTAGCAGCTGATAAAAGTTGTGTGTTTTTACCCCAATGCAGTTGCTATCAATGCGGTGTTCATGCAGACATACATAGGAGGAGTATCATGTCCATTCATATGTTCAAAGCGGTTGGATCATGGAGTTTTGCTGGTGGGTTATGGCTCAGCTGGGTATGCTCCCATCAGAATGAGAGACAGGGACTATTGGATCATCAAGAACTCTTGGGGACCAAATTGGGGAGAAAATGGGTACTACAGGATTTGCAAAGGTAGGAATATCTGTGGAGTTGATTCCTTGGTGTCAACTGTTGCAGCAGTTCAGACTCCCATTGTAGCACAAGCTGAGTAGATGGGAGGAGCATCCAAGTTCATGAAACTGTGAATTCTAAAAGCTACGTTCAAGGCTGATGCACTTATTATCAGCTACAGCCTATGCATATATGTTCGCTATTACACCAATAAACCCAACAAAAAAATAAGACACAAAGTTAAGTGTATATTGTTTTTATTCATTATTGTTCTTCTTCTTGGCGAGAATGTGCCAAGAAGCCAAAATGCCAAAATTTAATAACGTTGATTCACACAAAAGCTCTCTATTGTTAACGTTCGTTCACACAAATGCTCTCTAGTTCAATAACACATTCATTTACATGAAAGCTCTCTAATTCGATATTGTTCATTCACACGAAGGCTCTCTAGTTTGATAACGTTCATTCCACAATAGCTGGAATAGTTCTCTATTTTGACAACGTTCATTCACACAAAAGCTCTCTAGTTTGGTAACGTTCATGCACATAAAAGCTCTCAGTTGGATAACGTTCATTCACATAAAAGCTCTCTAGTTGGATAACGTTCATTCACACAAAAGCTCTCTAGTTGGATAACGTTCATTCACACAAAAGCTCTCTAGTTGGATAACATCCATTCACACAAAAGCTCTCTAGTTCGATAACATCCATTCACACAAAAGCTCTCTAGTTTGATAACATTCGTTCACACAAAATCTCTCTAGTATAACATCTTCATTCACACAAAGGCTCTCTAATTCGATAGCTCTCTAATTCGATAACACGCTCATTCACACGAAAGCTCTCTAGTTCACAAACATTATAATCACCCAACTCTAAACTTATTGACACTAACAAAAAAAACAATTCACCTTTCAATCCTTGACATTACTCAATACCTAACTCAAACAAACTCTATGCCTTCAATACACATACACATCATAGAATTAATACACAAATTAAGTCACATTGCGCCCATATATGTAAACAACTAACAACAAAGCAATCATCTTTTGTTTGAAGTTCTAAGTTAGAATAAACTTTTCAATAGTCCAAAGACATTATTTCATTGATGAATGAAATTAAAAAAGTGAAAAGTTTTCAACAAAGCTTGTTAATTCATGATTAAAAAAGAGAAGATTAAAAGATCTAAACAGATG